ACAATGAATAAATCACAATGAAGAAAGGACTGCAGTTGCCTAGAAGCCTTACAATGTTTTCTTCTACTCACGTGCACTTTTGTTGTTATCTGCCTTAAGACTTCCGGACAACCCGACTCGTTTAAAGTAATGGCAAAAATGACATTTCCATTAAAATAACACACAACACTCCTTGAAAAAGCACCCCAGAAACAAACATGAGGCAGGAATCTTCAATACAATAAAAACTCTAAACTAAAATAAACTCAGTCTTACAGTCTTTATTACTACATGATTATTCACTGAAAATAAACATTAAAAAAACAAAACAAAACCTTTGAAAGCATACTCTAAACCAACGTTTCTGAATCAAGAGACACAAGACATTCTCCTCAATCCAAATATTTGGTCTGCAGACCAAGTTATTGGTAACTGTACCTGTATGAGACCTTTTATGGAGCTCCAGATTGCTTGGATGTTTGAAAGCCTTCCCACATAATTCGCAAGTATATTGCCTCTGTGACTGAAGAGTCTGTGATTGTCCTTCTTGTTCCAAAGGACCTTGAGATCTTTCAATTTCAACAGTTTGTTCAAAATTCTCAGAATTCATGGAGTCATCAGCTTCTTTTTCTTCAGCAACTCTGACACTGGTCACACCCATGGTACTTTCATTTACAGATTCATTTACTCGTGTTATTCTACTGTCATCTCCTTTAGGCTCCGGGGGCTGCTCAGCAGATTTCTGAGATCTCAGAAAATTCAACTTTTTGAGGTGAACTGCCTTTTTCAGCCTCATCTGCTTGGTGGGCTGCAACAGCATGCTTTCTGTGTCTTGATCTGGAGCGGCTTCATTCAAGGGCTGAACCAGAAAGTTTGATGGTAAATGTTCAGAGGTTTCCAGAATACATTCAGGGTGACTGACAGGACAAGAACTACTCTGTACTGTGTTTATTTCTGTAGATGTATTGTAAGAAAAGGAATGTTCTGCTACCCTCTCATTATTAGAGCAAGCATTTTGCTTATAGAACTGTTTGCTGTAGAAGTTGCGCAGTTTATAATAGTAATTTGGTTGCTTAAAAGGAAGTTCTGTGCAGTTGCCATCTATGGAGTTGTGTGACTGCTTCTGTAAATCACCCGAGGGTGTGTGAAGATTAACAGACTGTGATGTATGAGAATGGTGGTCAGCCAAGACCTTGTTAGCTTGTGCGTCGGATGAACATTCTTGCAATAAGTTTGTTCCATAACTGTCATTGGTACAACTAGTATCTGCACTCAAACTATTCTGCAGGGAAAATACACTATTACAAGGCATGGTGGTTGTTTGCTCTATGGCTGTAGAAGATTTTAAAAAGGTGTGGCAAATATTCAGCACATTTTGCACTTGAAGGCATTGCGCAATATCCAACATAGCTTGTACATTGTCCTGACTAAGATCCAGATGGGAGGTATACATGAAGTCCAAAATTTGGCCAATCCCACCTACATTTTTAATGTCCAAATGAAAGACATCATTCTTCTGGCCTGAAGAATTCTGAAAAAGGGTCCTGACAAAATAAGGTAGATGTTCAAACACACAAATAATTCACAACACTTTTGTAGGAAAAGAAAAAAAATACATATACAGACACAAACATCTCAAACAGACTGTCTGGTATGAATAAAAAAATTAGTGCTATGTGGTCTTAGCAAATCTGTTGTGGTTTTGCAGATGAACTTCTCAAAACTGCTCAAATATTTCTTTCATACTATTATCCCTACACTGTTACACTTAAAGTACACATTAAAGCAGCAGACTCTTTTTATCCTATACTCGCAGCTTCTTACCCAATGCTCTTTAAACATTTGGTGCAGGGATGTATTTATGGACTGTCTGCAATAGTCCACAAACCCAGAATGGTGTTTTCCCTTCCATCATAGCAATTAGGACATGAGAAATTTGTCAGTAAAAAGATAAGACAGATCCCAAAGTCAGCAAAATTACTCTCTTCTGGCAATCAAGTTTGTCTATCACTCATTATCAGTGAACCTTACTAAAGACAGTTCATTAGTTCTTTTTATGCAAGTAGACAAGAGGACAGTAATAGTAAACTTTTTTTTTTTTTATTTTCCATTATTTTCATTATTTTCAATCCTTTCTGTCATACACCAAAAAAAAATTTGGTGCTGAATGACCAGGTACTGAATGAGAATGAAGTAAAAGAAGAAAAAAAAGAGTAAATGTATACGAGCATAAACCAGCAGTCCAACCATCACACACTGAATTTATCTTCAAAGTAACTGAATTCACAAGAGCACCAAAGCTGTAGCTCTCCATATGCATAACCAGTCCTAGACTGATCAGCTTGGCTCTGCCTCAGCCAGGACCTTCACACTTTCATGAAAAACCCCTAGTCTCTAACTTGACTCTCCCCCATAAAATGATGATGTATATATCATCTTCATGGGTTAACTCACAAATTAGGTTTGTTGAAAGGTGGACATAACATCAGTGAGCAGTGAATCTTACACAAAAGGCAGCTGAGGCTTAATGAAAAGCAGTTTTAGGTTCTGAAAGAATCTCCTCTGGTTCAAAACTGAAAGCAGTTTTGAAAGGATCTCCTCCAGGAGATCAACAGTGGGTGGGCTACAGTGAGGGGAGAAAAATGGGGAGTGATGTTGCTTCATGAACTACCTGCATACTTTAAAACACGTACTGTCTCTCTGATAATTTCTTCTATGCAGAGGTTCAATATTACCTATGTAATCAAATCTTGTTTTGGACACCACCAAACAGAAGTGGATAACATGAACTGCTTCTGTCTGGCTCAGCTCACATTCAGTACTACTACATTCAGTACTACTTCATGTAAATAGTTATCTTTGCATATTGAAATACTGACTGCAGTATTTCATGCCAGAATCCCCTGTATGAAGCACTGTAAGCAAATAAAGAACAAAAAATTTCCAAACTCAAACACTGTAGTAGTTAATGAGGCATACCCAAAAATTAAATTAGAATGCTCTCTGTTTTTACTTAGGTACAATAGCTGATGTAGGTTCATCTCTGGACAAATAGTTTAACTTTTTACCTTCCACTCTAATAGTTACTTTCTGTGCAACTACCAGAAAAAAAATAATTAAACCAACTTCTCAGGTAAAACCTCAAAAAACAGCATTTAGTTCACTTTTTTTTTTTTTAACCAGAAGAAATTTCTGCCACATACCTGAAATACTGACTAAAAGCAGCTAACACATTTTTGTGTGCTTTGAAGCAGACACCTTTCACCACCAACATGCAGTCACAGAGAAGACCCTGAATGCGCTGCTCGTGTAGCTGCTGGAGTAGATGACAACTATGGCTAGCAACAGTGTCCATGCTAGAAAGTCACATTACCTACAATAAAATAAAATTCTAAAATGAACTTTAAATATCAACTCGCAAAATGAATTTAGAACACGAAGAACACTTTCACCATTTTTTATCTCCTAAAGGAAACACTAGTTTAGACTTGCCTTGTGAGCTCTGAAGACATTTCTCTGTTTAAAAAAAAAATAAAAAAATCAATCACAGTATCACTCACCAGAAAACACAGCAGCAGTTATGGAAAATATTGATTTTAATGAAGCATCTCTTACAACAGAAAGCTTCTGCAAGAATGTGCAAGCGGCGCTGCAAAAATGCTGATCTCTATATCCACAGGAAATACAAAGCCAACTACTTTAACAAGATTATATGGCACAACCATATCAGACCTATAAAACAGTAATATCTGTAGAGGACAACCTCATTTGTTTCATCCTCTCAACTGAGCAGGGTGAACTCTGGAGCAGCACTGTTTGTAGCACATTCATTGCTATTGCAGCTAAGCACATTTCTCACAGATCTGGTTAAATAGACAAGCTAGAATGGCAATTCTTTGATTTAACAGAACATAAAGCCTCACAAAAGTCACTTTTTGAACATGTTGAAGAGAACACAACTGATAATAATCCCACACAATACATCCACGTTGAGTTCAAAGCTTTTTTTTTTTTTTTTTTTTGAAAAAGGATGAAACTCCAGCCCTACATACTGGTAAGCACAAACGGAAAACTTAAAATCTTAGGACAGTGTCAAGTTGTAGTCTTAATTAAACGAAGCAGAAAAAAACACAATGCTTAAATGTGACAAGAGCACAGTTATCCCCATTTTCAATTCTGATGAAGAGCTATGGTTCCCCATTTTAATGGGCTCCATAACAGAATCACAGAATGGCCATGGCTGGAAGGGACCTCAAGGATCATCAATCTCCAACTCCCTTGCCACATGCAGGGCCACCAACCTCCTCATTTAATACTAGACCAGGCTGCCCAGGGCCCCATCTAACCTGGCCTTGAACACCTTTAGGGATGGGGCATTCACAACCTCTCTGGGCAGCCTGTTCCAGCAACTCACCACTCTCTCTATAAAGAACTTACACTTACCACACATTTCCTTTCCTTCTGGCATATCGAAGTGGTATTGCAATGTACATTTTATCCCCTATTTCACCTTGTCTTTTACCAGGCTTTAAACTAAACTAGCTGCACCTTTTGCTTGTCTCCCCCCCGGGGGCTTCGAAAGCCCTTAACAACCCACGAATTCGGGCATCCTCAGCAGCCAGATGCCTCGGTGTCCGTGAAAAAGGGCACCCACTCCGAGCTACTCACAAGCAAGAGCAGCCCCAGCCCCACAGCCGCAATTTACGCGCAGATCAAGGCTTCAGGATCCCCTCAGACCTTCAGGATCCCCTAAGCGCGAAGCAGGAGAAGGGCGGAAGGTGACAGAGGGAGAGCGAGGAACGAGGCAGGTACAGAAGGGAGTGGGCTGAGGATACAGCGGAGCGCGGCAAGGCTTAACAAACGACCGAGGAAAGGAGCCGGTCCCGCTCAGCCCAGCGCTTACCGGCTGCGGTCACCTCGCAGCTCCATCTCAACGCCAAACCCACACTCAACCTCCCCCCACCGCTTCCGGCGCCGCTCCTTCCGCTTCCGCTTCCGCTTCCGCTGCGTCCCCGAGCAGGGCGTTGCGCATGCGCAGAGTGGCGGCCGAGGCGGGAGCGGGGAGACAGGCGCACGTGTGGGGCCGGGCAGCCGTTGGAGACGGCGGTTGCGGTGAGAGGGGGTGCGACCGGGGATCGTAGCCCGCAAAGCGACAGCTGTGGGGGGAGGAAAGGTCTCCGAGATGCAGCGGTGCCGCTGCGGGGACACCCTGAGCTAGGGCTGGGAGGGGGCAGCAGAAAAGGGAGGGCGTAGGGGAAAGCCGAACTGCGAGGCTGTTAAACAGGGGAGATAAGAGCTGGAATGCTCCTTGCAATTGGTGGCAGCGGGGATCTTGTCTCGCCAGGGCTGTGCTGTGTGGGGAGGAAAGAGATCGGCCCCACCTCATAGCAGCTGCTGACCCTCACCGCCATGGTCGTCTTCACGTGCAACGCGTGCGGGGAATCCGTGAAGAAAACACAGGTTGAAAAGCACGTGAACATTTGCAGACACTGTGAGTGCCTCTCTTGCATGGACTGTGGCAAGGATTTCTGGTAGGTAAATGATGGCAAGCGGCCTTGTTTGCTCCTCAGTGGTTGTCACACGTCAAAGGTTTTCCTACAATGTGTGAGAGCTAACTTTGGCAATTTCTGAATAATTCAGATTTCTGCTTAAAAAGCAAACAGGTTTGTTTCAGGCTTAATCATCCAATTGCGAACAAGGGCTTGGAAGTTCTACTGCGTTGGGAGGGAGATGTATGGCACTGCACTCACTTGTCCAGAGCATCTTTGTGCACCTCTCCTGATTTCACCTGGACAGAATCACAGAATGGCCAGGGCTGGAAGGGACTTCAGGGATCATGAATCTTCAACCCCCCTGCCACATGCAGGGCCACCAACATCCCCATTTAATACTAGGCCAAATTGGAGTAGTATTGGACAAACTGGACGTCAGTGTCAGACTGACAAGTGTCAGATAGGATTGATGTTGCTGAAAAGGCCATCAGCAGTAGATAAAGGTGTCATCGGTACTGAGTATATACATTAAGTCCAGGTCTGCAGACTAAATGCCACTTCTGGACATTGCCAGAGGTTATGTGAGGTTGGCAGTGATATCCAAAATTGTGAATTTGCTTCTTCTCATAACTCAAAAGACAGCAGTGCTACTATCTGCGTTTTAAATATGAATGTATGAATTTGCGTAAGAAAGTAAGCTCATCCTCAGATAATCAGAGTTATAGAATGGCTTAGGTTGGAAGGGACCTTACAGATCATCCAGTTCCAGCCCTCCCTGCTGTGGGCAAGGTTCCCAGCCACTAGATCAGGCACCACATCAGGGTCCCATCCAACCTGGCCTTGAACACCTCCAGGGATGGAGCATCCACAGTTTTTGTTTATCTCTCTCAGTACTTTATCGCCAACAAAATTGTTATTCATTTTTTCTTTTTGAGGGTCCACACACGTTGATTAGAACAATTATTACTGCATTAGTGTATCCACATTTGATGTAAGCAGTCTTACAAGCAGATACTTTAACCATGTTGAACTTCTATCATATAAGTGTTAGCAGTATTGAGGTGTAAACAGTAGATGCTGTTACTTCAATTTGTTGACCACTGAGTCTGTTTGGAGGACTGAGCAGTGAACTACAGTTGAAAATCTGTGTTCAGGGGTGATGACTATAAGGACCATGTGAAGTGTGTAACCGAAGATGAGAAGTATGGTGGAAAAGATTTTGAAGCCAAAACTAGTAAAGGAGATGCTAAACAACAGGAGTGGCTTCAGGTAAGGGCTATACTGTATACTGATATAAGCAATTCTTGATTGTTGAATTGGCTTGATTGTTGTTACTGAAGCAGGCACTGCTGACAGAAGAAATGTCATCTGTGGCCTCAAAGATGGCTTGTTTTTCACAGTTCCAGAAGGAAAAACATTTGCAAAAGTTTGCAAAAAACAGCCAGTTGAGAGTTCATTTTCTTAATGCAAGCACTTTTCAGAGTGCAGGGCTCCCCTTTATGATGTGGTTACTTTAATTTAAAGTGTAACTTGTACAACAGAAAGTATCAGTGAGCAGTCCTGCTTGCCTCTACTCAGTATCACAGTATAAGTATTTATACAGATAACTGATGCTTGTGATAAAACTATGGGATAGTGTTTATTTTGAAGCTTATTGAATGATTTCAGTTAGCCTATGCAGTCTGTGGGTGATTTTTGTCCAGTGTGCTTCCAGCTTTCATACCTTGCATGCATCTTTTGATCACTATGCTTCTTCACTGATTTCATCCTGCTTTTCTTCGTTCAGAAAATTCATGAAGTAATGAAGAAACCCAATATAAACCCTAAAGTGCGGAACATTTTGGAGCAAATGCGTTCCTTTGGTAATATTCCAAGAAAAAAAGTAAAATTTCAGGTATGTTTTAAGAGCTTTGTAGTAATTTGTGCAGTGAACTTAAAAATAGACTTCCCTGGTGTCTCTCTTTTGAGAAAGGTGGGACAAATTGTTTTATTTTGAGCATCAGGAAGTGGATGATGTAATGGCCAACTTTCCAATAGGAGATGCTTGTAAATTATTTCTCCTTTCATAAAAGGTGTCTAAATGCAGTTTGTCTAAATGCAATTTTAATTAGTTATTAGGCCAGAGACTCACAAAGTTGATTCCCAGACTAACGGATTAAGGTTGGATGTATAGGCTTGTTCTTTTGTAATACTTCCTTTTTTCTTTTTGCAATTGCTTTTGAATATCCATATTCTTAGACATATTTGCAAAGAATTTTAATGTCTGTGGCTTAGGTTTTGCCTGGGAGCTGCAAGAAACTTTGTTATAGGGAGTTTTCCTGTTGGTTAGTGTTCTGAGCCCTTCTCCCATACAGGGTACTTAACTGAAGTGTGCTTCTCAACCACAGCAGACTCCAAATACTTTATGTGGTATCTGTAAAGAATTACAAGTTGGCCTCCACCTCTTTTTGTGTCTCAATTTGTAAAGCTGAAAGAAAATAATGATTGCTTCTAGGTGGTTCAGATAGGATGTAATAAAACTGATGTGAACTCACTGCCAGAGAGCTAGCTAGAAAGTTAGACTTAGTTTGACAAAATTGACAAAAACGTTCTAAGCAAGGGAAGTTGTATTTTCAATCATTTTTTTCTTTTTGGTAAGATGTTGCATTGAAAGATCAAAAGTTTTTGCAGTCCATTATTCCAGTTTACCAGTGCAACCTTCCCAGGTATCCCTAAAGGATTGTTTGTCTCTAGCGAAACAAGCAAGAACACACCTTTAATATTTTAGCTCATACAAACAGTAAAAAGGTTTAGTAGGGCATAGATACAACCAGCTCTGTTCAAAAGCTTGAGGATGTCATTTTCTGTATATTGATCTCATCTGGATTATTGTTGGTGAGGCAATTGACAGGCGTGGCATAGACTTTTAACAATATGCTCTACAAAATTGCATTAGTTTTAAGGGATTTCTAGAGAATAAACATCGAACCAGATCTTCATCATGCAGAATAACAAAATTCTTAAATTTAAGAGCTAAATATATGGTAATAAGAAGAAAAGAAAAAAAAAAAAAAAGGAAAAGGAGATGCACTTTTTAAAGTTACTGGTAATGTGTTCTTTTTCTTTCCTTCACAGAACTGGATGAAGAACAGTTTGAGAGTTACTGACAGCACTTTGCAAAATCAGGTGTGGGATATTTTTTCTGAAGCAACTGGAGATGTAAGTTAAATTAGAGGTACAACATTGTACAACAGGAATGAGTAAAAAAAAATGTTTATCTGCAGAAATCAAAGCTTTGTGTTGCCTTAATTTTAGCAAATATGTCTTAAAAAACTACACAGACTCTTCTTTAATCTGCACATTCCTTTTTCCTTGTATTCTGATAATGTGTCTAATTGTTAGTAGCAGTGTTTCAGAATGGTGTCTTTGCCTGCTAAGTACAGTGTTTTAGTTTTGGAAGTATATAATGTTTTCTCTCATCACATTTATGTTTTTTAGCATTCATGTTGACTGTGCCCTTAGAAATTCTGATACTGCCTTGATATGCCTTGAGAGTGGAGTTTAAACATGGATCCATGCAACAAGTGCACCATTTACATAGTGCAACATGTACCGTAAAACATAGGAAAAACAAATTAAGCCAAGTCAAAGATTTTTTTGCAAGATAACATTTCTGCTGTGATGGTGAGGGTATTAGTTAGAAGAATCAAGCCACAGTGTTTACTTGTGTAATACAGTGTTACCTTGTGTAATAAACCTGGCTGAATTCAGGATATTGGTGTATTTCAGAAATGATGTAGTGGAGAAAAGTTGAATTATCAATAAAGGCATGTCAAAACTGTCATACTCTGTCTTTGAAAAAAGGTGTCAAGTAGAAAAGAACACGACAAACCACAACAGAAGGATGGAGTACAGTTTGCAGAAAGTGGGCAGAAAACAATGGCAGAAGAAAACGGCGTTACAGATGGTAAAACCGAGCGGAAAAAGAGTAAGAAAGAACGAAAAGAAGAGAGACAAAAGAACAATAAGAAGGAGAAAAAAGATTTGAAATTAGAAAGTCAGCCTGTGAGCTCAGAAACAAAAAAGAATAAGAAGTCCAAAAAACAGAAGGATTGCTTGGAGAATGAATTTGAAATGAATGGAAATGGCCATCAGAATGAAACAGAGGAGGAAACAAATGTCAGGAAACGCAAATATAAACATGTAGAAGGTATCTATCCTACTAACTGCATTTTTGTCTCTAGACTTTTGTCAGTGCCTAAAAGATCAGTAATCTGCCTCACTGGAATTTTTAAAAGGAGTTAATGTTAAATACACAAATTTAACAGAACATGAACATTTTAGCAAATACAAGCTTATGTTACAAGAATAGAAACTTACTTCTTATGCAACTAGAATTCTTCTAGTTTTATCACTTTTTCTGTGTGTGTTTCACCTCTAGAGGAACCTTGTGTCACAAAAAAGAAAATGAAAACTGAAAGCATGTCAGAAGACATGGAAACAGAAAACACCAATGGCAATGAAGAAACTCTTGGAAAAGGTAAAGATATTCCGAAAGGGAAAGTTTAGATGGTTACAGAACTGTGCTACAAAAGACCTTGTGCAGAATATGGTGCTTTCTTAGCAAGCCATGAAGTTGTGCCTCAATCATAACATTCACCTATCTGTTCCAGAGGAAGAAGGCTGTGCTACACTTTATACCTAGTTCTGAATTCTGTTACTTCTGTGCTGGCAGCCTCTAGCTACACTTAATTTCTCTGGACAGTGAGGAATCTGGCATATTTCTTTCACCACATTAGGTTTCTTCCCTGCTGCTGTACGCCTTGGCCAGCATAGAGGAAAAACAATTAGCAGCTTTGTATCTGTTCTGTCTTTTACATTACCATTTTTTCTAATTGAATCATAAATTGGAGTTTATCTGTGTTTGACTTGGTTTATGCTTACATAAGACAAGGCACTTCATTATCTTTAGGGAATGCCTGTCCTTGAACATGCGGATTGCATATTATGTAATGGTCTCTGATTTATAGCTGAAACTCAGAAGCTAAGTAAAGGCCATCTTGAACCCTAATGCTGATGTTGTACAATGATTCTTCACAGACATCCAATTAAAATGTTCAGAAACAGCCTACCTGACTTTATGCTTAAGACACTCTGCTGTTGTAGAGTCAGCAGGATAACAATGAACCGTGATGGCAGCTGAACTGGTTCTAAAAGTTGTAGGTTGAAGGTTCCTACCATAAGAAGATCTGGTATACTTTACAGTTTTATATGCTTATTTTCTAGGTAAATTCAACTGGAAAGGAACCATCAAAGCTGTTCTGAAACAGGCTCCAGACAATGAAATTTCAATTAAAAAACTAAGAAAAAAGGTACAGTACACCATCCTTTTTTTTTAGGTTTTAAATCTTCTTTGGTCTTGATATTTTTTTTTTCCTGTAGTGCTGAAGCTTGTAAAATCCTGTTCCTGTCAAAAATGTTTGATATTACTTAGCAGAACATCAGTTGACAGAATGACTAGAACTAGACTCGTTCTTTAGAACTCAGTAGAATACAGAGGCAAGTTCTGCAGAGGTGTAGCACCTGTGCATTTTGATACATAGAATCTGTGCTGCTTTTAATACAGTAACATGAACGTATTACTGCTTTAACTGGATCTTTACTAACTCAAAGCTGTTCCTCTTTCTTTGTGCAGGTTATAGCTCAGTACTATGCAGTAGCTGGTGAACATCACAAATCAGAAGAGGATATTCTAATCATATTTAATAAGAAAGTGAACAAGAATCCCAAATTTAAAGTTTTAAAGGACAAAGTGAAACTCCTGAAATAAGTTTTCATCCTTTCCATAATGTTTGCATTGCAGACTGAGTCAAATCCTGCTGTCAAGTAGACAGACATCATATATTGGTCTCAAATTGTTTGTGTATGAGAGAACAGAATTTAAGACTGGATTCATCTTCTTTTTCTAGATCTACTGCAGAATATTTTAGGAGTGCTGCATATCTGTTTCAGATATTTTTTAATTTTTAAGGAAAATGTATATTTTTTGTACAAGTTTTAAGAGGCATTGAAAATAACAGGCAACAGCTATATTAAAATTCTTCCAGGAATGGATGTTATTTATAGGCACGAATGTTTATCAGGACCAGGGTAGGAACTATTTTAAGAGCAATAGGATTTTCATATTCAAAACGTCACCGTAGAAAAATGTTTTGTTATGATACAGTTAAAAAAATGGTATGACTGATAGTTCCTTTATGCACTGTAGCTTTAATAACCTCTTAATTTTGTGCTGTGAAGTACATAATTACAATGTCTGTAAGATTTATGTATGTAAAATTGCACATTCAGTGAATATCTGAAAACTGTTACCTGTACGTGCATAGCTACTTGGTGTTATAATTAGCACTACAACTGACTAAATAAGTGATGTCACTTAGACTAAAAATTGACCAACAAAATAAATGACTGTAAAATACCACCTTAAATTTATTAAATCTTGTCAGTTTACGATTGTACCAAAAAAAGAAACAAACCAACCCAGAAGAAATCTGTGCATGAAATCCACAAACTATATATATATATTTTTGTATTGCAGTCACTGAAAGAATGTTAAAAGGGCAGAAATCTTAAAATACCTAATTTGTAAAACTAGTGAATATATTAGAAGTGCGAAAATGTTAAATGTCTGGGTCCAGTTTCTCTGAGTACATATTTGTCTTGTTTATAAGAAAAAATTACAATGGAAGTCCATAATAAGTTTCTCTCTTCACTAAATGGTTGTTTGCCAGTTCATGAAAATGGCTTTGGACGTATGTGAATAAAGTTTATTTACAGCCCTGGGAAAACTGAGTTCTTTCAGTGCATTCTAAAAGCTTATTTTTACTTTTTTTTTCTTTCTTTTTTTTTCAAATATAGGAAAGGACATAAGACTAAAATGAATACACTCCCATTTATCTTTTCACTGTTTATTTTACTACAAATATTAATGTTATATAGAGATTTTAAGTAGTTTTGTTGGAGTAATTAATTAGAGGTTTTAATTTTTGTTTAAAGTTCATTCCAAGTTATGCCATTTTCTTTGTATCTTCCAAAGATAAAAAGTTGTTTTGTTGATGATATGATGGTGACAATGTTGACCGTGTTGTTGACCATAAGAAATAAGAAAATAATAAGAAAAGGAGAGAGAAAGAACTATGTGAACTTGTATGTTTTTCCTTATGGATATTGCTGGAAGTACTGCAGAATGGTAGAGGAGTCTATGTCCCTATAGATCACTTCAAATGCTACTTAAGACCATGCACAGTTGCATTACTGACGTGCAGCTCAACATCAAAAATAACAATAGAAAAGGAAATCTATATTTTTTCATTAGACAATTAAGAGATTCCTCAGAGGTCTGAACTTAACTTTTCTACGTAAAACACATTCAGGATTCAGTTTACTGCTGCAGCTAACAATGTCTCTATCCAATTGAAATTACCCTCTTAATAATTACCTGTTTAGTGGTCACCATTTTAGAAGGGGGCATGCTGCCTTGCATTCCATTCAGAATATTTCACCAAGACAGAAAAATAGCAAGATCTCCCTCCTTTTATCTCAAAAATGATTAATCAATGTATTTACTGATTTTTTGTTTGTTTGTTTGTTTGTTTTTCAGTCCTGTCAGTCAGTTGCAAGGAAGTTACATACATTGGGTGCTCTTTTGTTCTTACATGAAGGTTTTAGCAAATCCAAGGGGGCGATAGTATAAGCTTATCTGGAGATCTTTAATAGCATTCAGACAGCATGCAATATTTTAAAAAGATTATTCTAGGCAGTATAAAAGTGCAGCAGGGTACAACCCACACTGGTAATTTGGAAACTTGCTGCTTGGAGTTTAATTAATATGTTCATTAAGCATTATCTGATTCCAGTTTCTGAGTCAGATGATTAATTTTATTGAACAGCTCTTAAATCTTTTGAGTGGCTTTGGGGTCTTTTACGTTCAAGAACTAATGTCAAGTTTGACAGCCATCTACACATGCATGTATTTCATAGAACCCTTAGAGTTGGAAGGGACCTTTAAAGGCCATCTAGTTCAACTCCCCTGCAATGAACAGGAACACCTGCAGTTAGATCAGGTTGCTCAAAGCCCCAACCAGCCTGGCCTTAAACATTCCCAGGGATAGGGCTTCCAACTGGGCAACATGTTCCAGTGTCTCACCAGCCTTATTGTAAAAAACTTCTTCCTTATGTCCAATCTAAATCTCCCCTCTTAGTTTGAAACCATTTCCCCTTGTCCTGTCATAACAGACCCTGCTAAAGAGTCTGTCCCCTTCTTTCCTGTAACTCCCCTTTAGACACTGAAAGGCTGCTTTCCAGTCTCCCTGAAGCCTTCTCCAAGCTGAACAGCCCCAGCTCTCTCAGCCAGTCCTTGTAGGAGAGGTGTTCCATCCCTTGGATAATTTCTGTGGCCTTTCTCTGGATGTGCTCCAACAGGTCCATATCTCTCCTGTACTGAGGACTCCACATCTGGACGCAGTAATCATAGAATCATAGAATCATAGAATCACCAAGGTTGGAAAAGACCTAAAAGATCACCCAGTCCAACCGTTCACCTATTCCCAATAGCTCCTACTAAACCATGTCCCTCAACACAACATCCAGTCTTTCCTTGAACACCCCCAGGGTCGGTGACTCCACCACCTCCCTGGGCAGTCCATTCCAGTGCCTGACCACCCTTTCTGAAAAGTAATACTTCCTCATGTCCAGCCTGAATCTCCCCTGCCGTAGCTTGAAGCCATTCCCCCTGGTCCTATCACTAATGACACGAGAGAAGAGGCCGACCCCCAGCTCACTACAACCTCCCTTCAGGAAGTTATAGAGAGCAATGAGGTCTCCCCTGAGCCTCCTCTTCTCCAGGCTGAACATTCCCAGCTCCTTCAGCCTCTCCTCATATGGCCTGTGTTCCAGACCCCTCACCAGCTTTGTTGCCCTCCTTTGAACACGTTCCAGGGCCTCAATATCTTTCTTGCAGTGAGGGGCCCAAAACTGGACACAGTACTCGAGGTGCGGCCTCACCAGTGCTGAATATAGGGGAACAATCACCTCTCTGCTCCTGCTTGCAACACTGTTTCTGATGCAAGCCAGGATGCCATTGGCCTTCTTGGCCACCTGGGCACACTGTCGGCTCATATTCAGCCGAGCATCAATCAATACCCCCAGGTCCATTTCCTCTATGCAGTCCTCCAGCCACACCGCCCCAAGCCTGTAGCGTCGCCTGGGGTTGTTGTGGCCGAAGTGCAGGACCCGGCATTTGGCCTTGTTGAAACTCATCCCATTGGCTTCAGCCCAGCTCTCCAGCCTGTCCAGATCCCTCTGTAGGGCCTCGCTACCCCCAGGCAGATCCACACTTCCAGCCAATTTGGTGTCATCTGCAAACTTACTGAGGGTGCACTCGATGCCCTCATCGAGGTCATCAATAAAGATATTGAAGAGGACAGGCCCCAGCACCGACCCCTGGGGAACACCACTCACAACCGGTCGCCAGCTGGATTTGACTCCATTTACCACCACTCTCTGTGCCCGGCCCTCCAACCAGCTCCTTACCCAGCCAAGAGTGTATCCATCCAAGCCTCTGGATGCCAGCTTCTGCAGGAGAATGCTGTGGGAGACAGTGTCAAAGGCTTTGCTGAAGTCTAGGTAGACCACAGCAACAGCCTTTCCCTCATCCACCAGATGGGTCACTAGATCATAGAAGGAGATCAGGTTGGTCAAGCAGGACCTGCCCTTCATGAACCCATGCTGGCTAGGCCTGATCCCCCGGTCACCCTGCACATGCCGCATGATCTCCCTCAAGACGATCTGCTCCATAACCTTCCCTGGCACCGAGGTCAGGCTAACAGGCCTGTAGTTCCCCGGATCCTCCTTACAACCTTTCTTATAAATGGGAGTCACATTGGCAAGACTCCAGTCATCTGGGTGACCAGATCCAGAATCCAGGTGAGGCCTCACCAGTACGGAGCAGATGGACAGGATCACCTCTGTCACCCTGCTGGCCACACTTCTTTTGATGTAGCCCAGGATATGGTTGACTTTCTGGGCTGTGAGGGCATGTTGCTGGCTCATGTCCTTTTGTTTGTGAAGAAAAATCTAACAGCATAACTGCAGTGATTTTGTGCATGCTGATCACAACTGCCATTCTTCCACTGTGCTCTATCTTTGACCATCCAGGTCAACAGCAGCATGCTACTGCCATCAATACAAAGTTTGATGTCCAAGGAAATTGAGCTGACACAACCTACAACTAACATTTTAATACAGTTAACAAACACATGATGAACCAGAAAGCTCATCATCTTCAACCTAGTTTCTTAGCAGCAGTCAATTATTATGGTTTTGCATGGACAGGAAAGTTGTGGGTGCATTCATCAAGCACGCTACTGAACTCCTGTTCAAAAAACACAAAAAGTACAGAATATGTTAAAGAATGTCATGACAGTAAAGTAAGCAGCCTTTTATTTTAACCTTTTATCTGACAGAAATGCTGTGGTATTGAAGTTTCTTTTAACAACTAATCAGTGTACTGGGTTTGTGATGCCATGGAGAAATTTAACTACTAAACTACTGTTTTCACCTTTTTGTAGCCTTTTAAAAAAAAAAAAAGAAAAAAGAAAAAACTTTCTTCCCCATAAATTATATGCTTAGCAGTCAATTGGTAATGATAGCAGTCACAATAAAGTGCTGAGAAACCATAAGATATCAGTAACAGCATTACAAAGTGTTTAAGCATGTTCTGTTTGTTGATTTTCTAAACAGCATAGTAAGAAAACATAAGAAAACATAAGAAAATATGCCTTACCATTAAGATTTTTCCTTCCAAAATACTGCATTGGAAATTGAATGTCTTTGGATGAGTGAGAAAGATGGAAGTATTGTAGATCAGAAAATGAATTGTTTAAAGTCGGTGGCTTTCTTGGTAAGCATAGCATCAGAATTTAAGCAGGGATTTTAATCACTGAAAAGAAGAAAGCTTCAAAGGATGTCTTGTTTGTTGTACTCAGCACTCCACCATACGGGTGCATTAGAGTATTTCATTCTCCTTTCTCCCAGTGAAAAAAGATCCTCCCACCTGTTGCTTTAATCTGATTGCATCAGTACAATGCAATCAGCGTCCAACATGAGTACTGGCTTATAACCGATGACCACACGATAGAGTCCCAGTACATTACTCCATTCAGAAACTTTTAAAGCTGTAATGCTCACCCTTATCTAGGAAATGAGAGGGCAAATATTAAACTCCTTGTGCAAGATAAGCAAAAAAAAAAAAAAAAGGTATATTGTTCTATACATTGAGCTGTGCTCACAGGTCACAAGATATCTCAATCAATATATTCAACATCTCTCCCTTTCTTCTCCTGGTTTAGCTTTCAAGAAAAAAAAAAAACAAAAAACAAAAAAACAAGAATAAGCCCTCTAAGTTTCTTTTCTGCTCTGTCAGCCAAGAAAAGCAGCACATTGTGTTCCCCATTAGTTCTTTTTCAGGAAGTGTTATTTTATATTTAATACTAAATTTCACTTGGAGCAGAGAAAGTTTCAGTGGTAACTGTTCTTTGCACTTGATGAGACAATTCCTTTTGCACCTGTATTCTCATGCTTTTACATTCTCACAGGCTGAGACAACTTGAAGAACATATTTTGTTTCATTTCTGTCTCCAATTTATTCTTAATGACGTGAAACAGCCATTTCTTCAAATAGACTGTATACTTTGATCTTCTGATTTGAGATTTTAAATAGAAGCTTCTCTCGACACCCCCCACCCCCCTCCCCAAGTTTACATCAGAAGCAAAACAACACACTTTGCATAGAATCTGTTTTATAGTTCCTGAAATGACTTGAAAGCAGCAGGATAACAGAAATTGTGTTTCTGTATACCTACCAACTAATCAGGTAGAATGCATTACTACTAAATAGCACTGAAATCCTTAGTAAGGCCTGATTACAAAATCAATCTCAGTTCTCACATGCATTTGTTCTATTAGAAAGAAGATGCTTTAAAACATATGGAGATATTGCTCAAAGTCAGCATGAATACAAAGGGAAGAGAATTATGTGTATCGGTATCTGATAGGACTGCAGGTTAACATGACCAGGAAGAAATAAAGGGAAACTCATCTCTCATATTCTCTTATAGCCAGTAAAACAAATAAAAAAACGACTTTTATCAAGAACTCAGAATGCCATTACAAATTATTCTGTGAATGACCATTTCATTGGTCCATCTTTCAGTATTGGTTTCCCTCTCCTGAAAAATCAGGGTGAATCTACACTTAAACCTCAACATTTCATTTTTTGCTTTTATATTTTAACACATCTTTCTCCTACTAGATATCAGAACTTTAGCATAACAGCCTCCTCTTTCCACTAAAATGCATGAGGCATTTGATCCATATAAAAGCACTGACATCACTACATCTCATTTAGATGACAAACAATGAAAAATAATACCAGAAACTTGCCTGCATTATAAATGGCTCAAGATATGTGAATTTTACTCCTTTGATCTGTTCTTTGCAGCAGCCATGTAGTGAACTCTTAAGATTCAGACACTGAGTTATAAATAGGAAGCATGAAGTGCACTTTTATGTGCTTGATTTTCTGCCTTTCTGATGGCCTTTGATTCTTGGTAATGAGAAGGAATTCATCAGCTTTTGACACTATACAGTACCCATGCAGAACAAAAGCTGATTTTTTTTTGTGAATGAGACAGGGCCAAAATTTTCTCCTAGACTTTTATTGGTTTTTTGTTTTGTTGTTTTGTTTTTAATGATTAAAGCAAGTGCTTCACTGACTGAAGTCAATATATTGTACCAGCATTTTTGCTTTGGACTTCTTAATCAACTGCTAGTATGAAAGCTTTTACTGAATTTATAGACGTTATGCATACAGGTCTTTATTGATTCTTTTTTCCATCTACTCACTCTACCATTTATTATATCTTCATGGACTCTTTGTTCCTACAATTTCCCTATTCTACACCATGAGATCTGTTTCCTCTTCCTTTCCTACTGCAACATATCTCACTCACCTGCTCTGTGTTTGAAAATTCAGCTTTTTTGTGAACACTTGGCCATTTCCGGGGTTAGCACTGGGCAAGTTCTCTGTGAGAAGAAAAAAAAATCAACTCTGTCTTAGTTGTACACTTTTTAAAACCTGTTAATATGAAGCACATTTGTCAAAGTAGTAACAGGAATTGCACATCTCCCAGCTAAAACTTCAGATTGAGATACTGCTGAATTTAGTTCTCATACTAACAAACATCTTTCTTCTTTTGACAGTATAGCATTCTGTAGGCTCCTTCTAACTCAGCTGTCCAATCAGGTTAGCAAATCAAAGCACGTATAAAAATTAATCTTACAGAAAGTAAGTAGCAATGGACTGCAAACGACAAAAACAAACAAATAAAAAACACCCCCTGACCTGAAAGAAATTTATAAGAACTTTGTTTCATGTTTCCTTTTGCAGGACTCCTCAGAGAAATTTCCACAAGCGAAGAGCATGGGCTGAATTCCATGCAGTATACATCAATGAGAAGTTCCTATACTGTACGTGGTACAATTTTTTTCCTGTACTTTGCAATCTTGTAGCAGTGATGTCCACACATGCCTGAGCAATTTTGTTCCACTGCCTCTGGCAGTGAGGGCACTAGACCAAGTCTGAAAAATAGTTAATGTGCTACCAGCAGCCTTAAAAAAAGGCTCTTTATAACTTCTATAAAGTGTCAAGTCTAAAAAAAGCAATACTCCTAGAGTAAGACATTTCAAGTCTAAATAGAGCAAAAAGTTCTTTCAACAATAAACCCGAATACTCTTTCCCCTGACTGATACACAGTCTTTCCTACGTAAATTAGACCTGCCTTGATTATTAAAAAAAAAAAAAAAAAAAAAAAAGATACTGTAGGATGTACCTATGTGCAGTGAGGATGCAGAACTTGTCATAGTTTACAGATGTGCATGGCTGCACAGGCATTTTCCTCAGCGAGGACATCAGTTTCAGTAATTCACAAGCGTTCCCTTTCCCATCCTCTCACATCTGGCCATTTCTTTTTGCCTCTTTGCCATTTCCCTGCATTTTTTTCGAAGGCTTTTAAAACCAGATCAAATCCTCAAACTGAGAGGTATTATATACCTCTACTGAGGACTGAGTAGTCAAGAACAATTATAGATGGAGCACTGCTGCCAAATGCTTTGTATCTTTAAACTGTAGTCTTGGGAAAACATTTTGAGAGCCATTGTACTCCCTAAGAAAGTCAGCATAGTTAAGTGAAACTAAATTCAAGAAATGATTTAGGAGACAGACTAAGAAGATTTACTTACCAGCTTCTAGGAGAATGGTTTGTCCAGATTTATTTCATGCCTCTTTTTTTTTTTTTTTTTTTTTACACTTCGAAGATTCAAACTGGAATGAACAAAGTTGTTTCATTATATATTCTTAATACCAATTATTGCAAAAGGCAAGAATACAACACTGACGCTACCTAAGATTTTTAACCAGGATAACTGACGGTGTTGAAATAGTCTTTAATCAAAGAGACATTCCAGACTAAAGTGATGTCCTGGACCAGCCACATTTTTGTATTTGACTACTTTCAAGATGAAGAATAAGATAACTTGATAAATCAGATCACGTGATGCGTTGATTCTTTTTCATTTCTTTTAGATATTTACTTCCTGTTTTTAACTGCCTTTATCTTTTCTGCCTTCTTTTCCTTCAAAAGTTTCAGATGTTTGCATGCTGACTGGTAGTGTATTCTTTGCATCAAGCACATTATTATATCTATTGCTTCTTTCTTAAGGGTCAATCTAAGGATGCACTGACATTTAATACTCAACTTTAGTTCTGTAGTTTGTATATGTACAACATTCAGATCAGATTAAGTTTTAATCTCTGATTGATATTCATGTTTGTATGAAGGTACTAACACCATGCTTTTTTTTTTTTTTCAGTCCTTTGGTCATATTTTTGTTTCCATTGTACTGAACTGAACAATTATTCCTCAAAATGAAGAATACACCTACACTATAGCCACCCTCCTTCAACTAAAAATGCCCTACCTAGATAAGTAATGAAGGCAAGGCCAAGCAAGCTTCTTGTGAACAAACACCGTTCGGGCTCACACAGCTACTAACTTTTGCAATGGGGAAAAATTTGCAGATATTTGATAGAATACTAGAAAACAAATTTTACTTTTTTAAAAGTCAAATTAGAAATCTAATTCTAAAATACACATGAACCTACACAGGGAATATAAAATAACACTTCTGTATTAAGAGTTACTTGTAAATGAACATTAAAACAACAGTCAGTAAGTGGGAAATACTCAAGTGAACACCAAGAGAACAAACTTAAATATATGCAAGATTGGAAAACTCAGTTTTCATTTATAATTGCAAAAGCTTGAATGTTTAAAAGAACTGAAATAAAGCATTCTTTTCTCTTTAAAAGAAAAGAACTTGAAGGTGTTGAATGCAATTTTTGCAAATGAATGCAAATGAAACTTTTACTTGCAAGAATTATCCATAACACACCCACAGTCTGGATGCTTTGTTGATTATGTTGTTGACTTTGTAACAGCCTCAGTTCAGCTCCTGATCATTATCCTTTAGCAGATTAATAATGACTGAATCAGAGAAGCTCTGTGAAAAGATCACAGAAAACATCTCGGCTCTACAAACACTGAACATGAGTGGTCTAGGTTAAGGTCAAAACTGAGCCAGGGAAGGGAAGCTCTTATTTCAGCTCTTTGCACAATGCCTACTCTGTAGGTAAACAGGAGTCTTCAGTTTAACAACAATAACAGATCTTAACCTTTTCAAGCATACATATTTATTTAATTACTACCTTTAAATCAAAGATATTTCCTATGAATAGCTTTAGTAAAGAGAGTGCATGATTTCCTTTGTTTCCTATTCGAGTTACCAGCATGAAAGTGAAGGCTGAGGTAATCATTTCATTCAAGGAAGTAAAACAAAGAGTCCTTTATTTCATTGCTAAGAAAGCTGAGATCAGAGACTCCTATAAGCTGTTAACTTCAAAATATTCAGCTGAACTAAACAAAACATAATCACAGACATTAATGTTCATGATGTGGATATAAGGCATGTTCTACAGCAAATGAAGTAAGCAAATAAATAAATTCTTGCTTTTTTTTTTTTCTTTTACATGGAATTTACTCAAAAGTCAGTGCAAAGTAATGAAGAATAATCAGAACTCTTGCTTCATTCAACATGAGAAATCCCTACAAAACAGATGATGGGACATTTAGGAAAATATACTGTGTGAATCACTGTTTGCAGCCCCTTGGCTGAAAAGATTACATCTTCTGGCAGATGATACAATGCAGTATATCTGCATACCAGGCTACATGGCAAATAGAATCACAGAACAACCAAGGATGAAAGGGACCTCAAAGATCATAAGGTCCAACCCCTTGTAGGAAAAGGAAGCCTAGGTGAGATTATCCAGCACCTTACACAATTGCATCTTGAAAGTCTCCAATGATAGGAACTCTACCATGTGCCTGGAGAGATTGTTTCAATGACTGATTGTTATCACCATTAAAAAAATGTCATATCAAGACAGAGCCTCACCCAGTGCAGCTTGTACTCATTACCCCTTATTTTCCCCATGTCACCCCTTTGTGAAGGAAGTGCCTCTGTGCCCTCTGTAGCAAGTACAAGAGTACTTGCTACAAGTACTGAAATACTGTGATGAAGTTCCCCCTAACCCTTTACTTCTCCAGGTTGAAAAGTTCTCTTTCAGCCCTTCCTTATAGCCAGGTGTTTGAGCCCTTTGATCTCCTTCATGGCCTTCCTCGGGAACCTCTCCAGTCTGCCCACATCTGAATTGAACTGGGGAACAAGAACTGGACTCCAGGTACAGTCTGACAAGCGCTGAGTGGGATGATTACAACTCCATCTCTGCTCGTAATGCCCCTGTAGGTACAGCCCAGGATCTGCTACATCAGTACAGGTGCAGGACTTTGCAACTCACCTGTTAAATGTACACCTTGAGTATCCTAAGTAATGAAGCCTCATTTCCTTTATCTCTGAAATAATTGCTGCCAAGTCGCTCATCATCAGTCCTGTGCCTTGCTTCACCCATATGCTGGGCAGGACGTAAAATGCACAGAAAAGTACATGATGAGCGAGTAAAGACATGCTATTTCAGCTGAGAAGTCATATAAATGAAGAATTATTCTTCTTCCACTTGCAAAATGCACAGATTAAGCCAAATTCTCCAATGCTTAATCACCTGTAACTCAAACCAAATATAACATAAATTGTTAACGTATTGAAAAATTTGGTCATAACTACTGTTAGGGCTATCATTACACAATTTAGATTAGTGCAAGTCTACTGAGTTGTGGAGCTGCTCTAGCACTGTACTGAATTAGGCTGTACCTACAGAAGACCTATTATTTCTTAAAGATTTATTCAAGTTGGTTGTTTGGTATTTTTTTTTCCCCATTTCAAAAGGCCTTTGATAAGGTCACAATTATTAACCACTGCCTACATGCCATTCATCTTGTTTTTCCTGTTTTCTGAATGTGAAACTACAGAGAAAATATCTGCAAAACATTTATGCTGAAGAATGCATGTGGTATTGTGAAAACTTATTTTTCATACTCACCGATTTCATGCAAAATACTGTTTACCTTCTAAAAGGGAAAGTAAAATCAGATAATGAAACATTTATGTTCTGAATTTCAATTTATATACAACTAGAAGGATGGTAAATATACTTGATGGTAAATATACTTTTGTTAACTAGAATACGTACTAAAATTATTTTTTCTTCAATCTATCTCATACGAATCTCAGCCTTTATGGAATAGTTCTCTGAGATTTTTATTTGAGTCCTGTGCTACCTCTATCATACAACCATTAAGGCTGGAAAAGATCTCTAAGGTCTCCCAGTCCAACCATCAGCCCTTCCCCACCATCCCACTGACCATGTCCCTCACTGCCACATTACACATTTCTTGAACACTTTCAGGGACCGTGACTCCACCACCTCCACAGGCAGCCCATTCCAGTTTCCCATCCCTCTCTTTCAGACATTTCTCCAAATATCTAACCTGAACCTCCCCTGGCACAGCATGAAGACATTTCCTCTCATCCAATCACTGTCATTTGGGAGAGGAGGCTGACCCTCACCTCACCACAACCTTCTCTCAGGCAGTTGTAGCAATTAGGACCCCTGAGTCTTCCCTTCTCCAGACTAAACAATCCCAGTTCCACGTGGTCTGCAAAATACAAACAGCAAAATGTTTATGTGCTACCCAATCTCTGCTTATTTTTCCTATTTTTTTAAGCTACTTTGATAAAACAAGCCTCTTTTTTTTTTTTTTGCACTTGGATTTACATAACACAGTTTCCCATTTTCAACGACGACTGGCATCATTCACAACACCACTAATTTGTAATATATTGCTGGTCCATTATCAGAGTCACTATTTGCTACAGCCGCACTCATAAGGCACGCTTTCATCAGTTTTCTTTAGGGATGAATAATATGAAGTGTTGTTTTATCAGGTGAGCATTAACTGACGAATCCAAGAAGGCAATCACCTGGGTGAAACAGGCAAGCAGTTACACCTAGACCAGGCATGGAGAACTAGCTCCTGGTAACGCTGCGTGTCAGGTATTTCTGCTCGGTCTGGTGGGCTTACACAGCCGCAAGGTGTGACTCCATGAGGCTAAGCACGGTGCCCACAGCGCCCGCTTTGGAGAGGTAACAGCCGTAGAACCGGTGACGAACCCAGCCGGCCGCGACACCCTGCACAAAACCACAGGCCATCACGGCAGCACTACGCGTTCAGGGAAGCGCCCGCCCCGTCGCGTCACTGCCGGAGCGGTCCAAGATGGAGGGCGGCGGGCTGCGCGGGGAGCCGCTCCCCAGGCTCAGACGCCATTTGGGGCAAGGGGCAGAACGCCCAGCCCCGCTGCTGCAGCCACTGCTCCGGGACGGCGGGACGGCCGGTGGGTGGTGCCGGGAACGCTGGCGCTGCCGGGAGAGGTTGGGACTGTGGGGCAGTCGGTGGAGCAAGTGGGAGGATGAGCACGCTCGGGATGTTCGGGGGTTCCCGGAGCCTCGCCTCCACGGCTTGCTAGCGCTGCCTTCCCGCTCGTCCTCGGCCGTAAGATAGAGGTGCTGCTGATGGTGGCGGTGCTGAAGGGCAGAGCGGAGGTCCGAGCGCTTGTAGGGGGCTCAGCCGGTGGCAGTGCTTCTGCGGGGTGCAGGGCCGGTGTGCGTCAGGCTGCTGAAGGCACGCAAACCACCAGTAACGATCAGAACAGTGCGTGAAGCACCACATACGTGCCTCAACAGGTACCTCTGCTCCACTGCTGCCCAGCTAAAAGCGCAATCTATTTAGCTGTGCATGTCCCTGTTCATGGCAAGGGAGTTGGACTCGATGACTTTTGAAGGTCCCTTCCAACTGTACCAGTTCTATGATTCTGTAATGACACTGCAGTTAGTGACTGGCTATGGTGGTATCTTTATGTTTGTGTTTACAGAAGAGTCTACAGCTGGAGAAAAGAAAAAGAAGCCCTCTCCTAGACTGAACATTCATTCTGCATTCTGGATTTTGGCTTCCATTGCTGTGACATATTACTTTGATTTTTTTAAATCTATTAAAGAGACAATTCAAGCAGATAGGTAAGATGCCTTACAAAGATTTCTTACAAAGAAAAGTTGTGTTTTCAGCTTATGTTCAGATTGTTACATATAAACTTTGTGTTTTGAATCTTGGATAAACAAGATCCACAATAGAAACAGAGTGAGTGGGGTCTGTTCAGCCTGGAGAGGATAAGGTGAGGAGGGGGGAATCTCATCAATGTGTACAAATATCTGAAGGCAAGGTGCAAAGAAGATGGAGCCAAATGCTTTTCAGTGATGCCCCAAATTGAAACAAAGAGGTTCTACCTGAGCATCAGGAAACATTTCTTTATTGTGCACTGGAGCAGGCTGCCCAGAAAGGCTGCAGAACCTCTGTCCTTGGAAATACTGCAGAAAAGCTTCCTGGATGTAGTCCTGGGTGACCAGCTCTAGGTGGCTGTGCACGAACATACAGACTGGTACCACCTGGACCACCTGAATCCTTATTTTTTTTTTTTTTTTCAGGCTTGACCAAACCATTTATGTGCATGTAAAATGTGTTCTAGTAACATTGTATCTTAATATGGTACCTTCATATTTGTGCTTAAGTACAAGAAGCCACTGCCTATTTTGTTGAAAGTATTGGGGTTTTGATTTTAATTAAATAATAAAAAAAAAAAGCTGAAATTAATCTGTAAGCATCAGAAAAAGGTTTTTTTTTTTTTCCTTCTTGTTTAGATGTCTATTGAGTAGACTGAAAATATTAGAAATAATTGCTATGAAATAGTTGAGAAATAATTTCACAGAATTATATCTTTTTCATAAAGTTAATTCTCAGTGGGGTTGATAGACATTAAATATTTTCAGATAGCTTCATCTGGAGGTGCCTTTTGAACAGGAGTGATGTATTATGAAATTAAACTCTAGTAGCTATGCAAGTGTTTCATAAAAGTAATTTAAGAAAAATATTTCAGGAGTTCTAGGCTAATCTGTAAATTTAACAGGTATTGTCTGTTCTGTTTCTGGAATAGAATGAAGAGTAATATGTGGACTGAGATGTTACTATACTTAATGTGATTTTCCCTTCTACAACAGTTGGTGGTTTGCCTCTGGCAGTTGTTTATTGGCTGCATGTTTATCTGTTGCCTTTTACTGCATAATATATCTTGAGTGGTATCGTGGAATTGAGGACTACGATGTGCAGTATCCTGTACTGATACCTGTCACGACTGCCACTTTTATTGCAGCAGCAGTTTGGTGAGTTGAAATGTATACACAGACTTTTGCTGCACCTGAGCAGTTCAAACTGTATTAATGGATTCATTTGATCAGAAGTATAATTCCTCTAATTCCACTTAATGTATTGGAGATAGTATAGCACGATTTCTTCATTTTCAGCATTCATCCATGATGCAAGATTTATAATATTTGAAGCTGTCATTAAAAAGCTTACTTTCAATATACTGGATCTTTTCTGATTGAAGAAATAGTTTAGAATTAGTAAGATCCGTAATCCTTGTAAACCATTTATAAAATAAATTTTCTTGCTATCCCTTTGTTTTAATTCATACTCAAATCGACTTGGCTGTAAGTACAAATTAAGGTTTTATTTTCCTCAGATACTGTGCTTGCCCGTGGAAAAATCAAGAATGTTTCTCATATCTTTTACTTACATAATCTCTGTGCACATTTACCCTTGATGAGTCTGAGTGGTTTTATTCAGAGTAAAACAAATCTGCAGGAGTTACTGAAGTTTCAGGATGAGATGTCAGTAAATAAGCAGTAAACTAAACTATCTATTTTATAAATACATGCTCTTTTTGCCCTATTTTCTTTTTATCTGTGAAGTTGTAAAGAAATAAGTATTCTTCAGTTTAAGTTATTTGAACTTCATTTCTTCTTGTGCTATGGTTTACTTCTGTGCCTGGCTTTTCCACAGTGTGAACTTCTCTAAAGCCTTCTTCTTTTATTCCCAGTTTTAACGTTGCCTTATGGCCAGTCTGGTCATTTATCACACCTGTGGTGTTGTTCATTCAGTTTATGGGTGTTGTGATGCTTGTGTCGCTCCTAGGATAAGTCTTACAGGTAAATAATTGAATTATTCAAGCACATAGAAGCGTTTATCTTGTTGCATGAGTTGCTTTGTTATATAAACCATTTAAGGATTCTTTCTTTACATTTTATATACAGTTTTAGAATGCTGAAATTTTATGGCAAATGGAGTTACCTGAAAATATGCAAGTATGTTTAAGGGAAGAATACCTTTTTCTTCTTCTGAAAGATTCTCTTGTGGACAGTGAAAAGAAGAGATGAGTGAGAGTGGATGGTTTTGGGGAGTATAGGCCAAATACTTGCAGTTTCTATCCAGGCTGGGAAAACTTAGGGAAGTTGCTTGACATGATAGTAAAAGGGAGAAGCTATCCAAATGCAGTTGTCTTCTCTTAAACTCAGATTGTCTTACCTTTATCACTGAGTATGCTGCGTTGATTTTTTGTGGTGAATGGTCTAGTTCTTCCTTAAAAGCAACCTTTTTATGGCAAATACAGACAGTTTTTCAACTTTAAAAATTCTTTCTCAACAGCCACCGTGTTGAAAAGGGCTTTTCAGATTTTGTTGATATTCTATTCAAATGGATCCTGTGAAAAATGGAAAAACTCAGTAGGGAAAACATTAAAGACAGCTCAGTAAGTGGAGTGAGAGATGCTCCCCAAATCACAGCTGTATCATCCAGGGAGGTGACTCCTTCAGAACTGCTTTAGTTTATTTTGGGACCTTGAGTTATGTTTGCTGATGCAAAATTCTTCAATGCGTGTTTATTCCTTCTGTCATTAGCAGTGCTCTGTTTAAGTGCTGGAAAGGTGGGGAAAGAGAACATTGTGAGCTGTTAGAGCTGTGCTCATATTAATAGTCTGAAACAACCGTACTGCTTTAATTTGTACTTAGAGGTAGAAAGTAAGAAGTATAAGTGAACTGCAGATATTCTGAACAGCTAAATCTTAGGAAAACATCCTGGTTTTCTCAATGAACAGCCAGGTAAATTATTTTATACAGCATATTATTTACTTGATGATGTAAAATCATCCAACTAATGTGTATCAAATTAGTACAGGATATGGCTTGTGCAGTATGTAAAGCCTTGTAGTGTGTGTATACATGTGTATGCATAACATTTGATGTGTTTTTTTCTTTTCTTTCAGCTTCGTGTGGAGGATTCAAGTAACAATTATCCTACGGAGTGGATGTTGCTTTAGTTCCATTCCATTCTGATTATACTAAGCTACCTGATTTTATAAATGAAATTGACATTAATCCATGGTTCAACCAATGGCTGCAAGAAGGCAGATGATTAGCAAGTAATTGAAAGATGGATAGATTTTCTCTTAGTGACATAATGCATTTCGTACTTTCTTTCTAACAACATTATAGAACTGACTTATTAATCATTCACCTAGTCTTAAATCCCATCTGGGGACTCCAGAGGTCACTTAGTCCAACTTCCTGCTTCAAGCGTGTTGATTGATTTGAAAATAAGTGATGCTTAAATTTAAACGTTATGGTTTTTAATATGCTATTTTTACATTTGAATTGATAGCTAAAATACTAATATTTGGAATCTCTTTGAGCTTATAAACTTGGAGATAGATGACAACAGAGGAGACATTTATTGATCCACTAGATTTATAATTTTATGTGTGTTTCAATGAAGGAAATATTTCATTGATCTAACCCTTGACTTCAAATATGTAAGTATTTGAAAAAAAGATATGGATTTGAGTAAAGGTCTGGAAAGCTGGTTGAAATTTACATCACTGATAATCTGACAGTGCCAACAGTGAAATAAATGGATTACACTTGTATTGACATAATTTGTCTACAGCCAAAGGCGAGCTATCAAGTTGTGAGTAACCAGCAATACAGTGAACAATAGGAATGTTACACAAGAAATTACGAGCACGAAGAAAATTATTTTGATGTATGCACTATGTTTTATTCTATGTATTTTATTCAAAAAGTAACTTTTCATTCTTTAAAGTGCCTGTTAATAAAATTGCCATTTTTCCTTCCTCAGTAATAGAGGTCAATATTAAATGAAAAGCCATTACCCACACGCATCTGGGTAAATAAAATAACATTGTCAGTTTGTTCAGCTTGGCTGTGATACTAAAGTATCTGGGCACCATTTAGTTTCCAGACCATTTTGTATATGTCGTTGTGTTAAACGTTTTTTA